CATGTTACTAATACTAAGAGTAAGCAAATAATTTTTTTTTCTTGATTTTAGGAAATTATAAGTATTACTAAAAATGATGATTTTTCGTATGTTACTAATACTAAGAGTAAGAAAATAATTTTTGGGATTTTTATTGGAAGATGGGCTTTGGAATCCGTCAAGGCCAATTGGGCTCTCTCAGCTCAAAAGTCTGGCCCACATTAATCTCTATAGAAAATGGGTCGAAGCAAATTTTCATCATAAACAAGTTGACTTGACCCACCAACCCATATCCGCCCCCAAATTCACTAATTTTTATTTGGTATAATTATTTCAGATATAAAAAAGGAAGAAAATTAAACTTTTTTCATTGAAAATATGGTTTCTAATGATCTTGCTATCAATCAAGAGCGCTTTACACATGCGAAATAATAAAAATGGATTCACAAAAAATTAATAAACAAAATCATTTTTTGCAGTGCGTTCTGAGCTTAAAAAAAGTAAAATAAAAGTTTGATCTTTTCATTTTGGGTCGAGCACAAAGATAATTACACTCCGATTACTCTCTCATAATCACTTATAAGAAAAAAAAAAAAAAAAAAAAAAAGAGAGAGAGGAAATAACATTTATTATGTGACGATGCCATCATTTCTTATTTATTTTGTTTACATCTATACTCTACTTTTTTAAGACTTTCAATATTTTTTTCTGAAATATATGTTTGTTTCCCATTTATGTAAGATTGAGAATGAAAAATTTAGCTGTTATGAACCCCACACAAAATATATAAATTCAAATATGGTGACTTGATGTGATGGATAACAGTCATATTTTTCATTTTAATGGAGAAAGAATAGAAAACAAACAAGGGCTAAAAATCTCATTACATTGACTTACCTAACCACGAACAACCATGTAAAATAAGATATGATCAATCATTTCTACTGTATGTTTTACTAAGATAGCAAAGAACTTAAGTTTGTCGCCGTTTTATTTTCTTTTCGAATAACAAAGTGACATAAATCACAACTTGTGTTCTCTAACAAATCAAGCGGCTGTTTGGGCCTGATTTTTTCACCCCAAAAATTGATTTTTTAACTGTTATTTTACTATTCCAGCCGTCATATTTGACTTCTTCTCTCACAAGTGGACCCCACTTTTCTTCTAACGGTCAAAAAATCAATTCTCAAAATCACTCCCAAACAGCCTCCAAATATACCAGAGCAAAATGAAAATATCATTCAATATTTTGTTTTATTCTATATAATAATTCAGACAAGTCATAGTCCAATTGGTATAATTGGAGCACTGATTATGGACCAAACAATTTGTTTGAAAAATGAGCCAATTTGAAACGCTATCTTGATTGATTAATGGCCATGATTTCATGGTCCCAAACTGAGGAAATTCCACGATGAACCAAAAGGACTAATGACAACGAAAAAAGGTACTCAAAATCAACCTTTAGTGATAACACTAAGGACTTTTTTTTTTTTTGGACACTTTGGTTGGCCACTTCTATGCATGTTAAGATTCTCTAAGTGGGCCCTTGAATAGAGAAATTGGATACCCTATCTTACTTCCTAAATTAATGGTCATGTGTGTCAATATGTGACGATTTATAGATCACACATCACGTATTCATTAAATGACAAGTATGTTTATTTTGTGTGTGAACAGAGAAATTGAGTATGTTGCGTAACTTTGGATTGACATTTAGATATAATTAAAGAAAAATATAGATCTTAAATTCAAAATCTAGCTAGTATACATTCATAAACATTATATGTGTCAAAACTTCAATAAAATAACTTTAAACATCTGTTAAATATATAAATATGATCAATGAAATTCATAGTCTCTTAAGTTAGAAGGTTTTAAAATGAGATGATCAATTAATTGATAAACAGCATAAGTTGGAAAAGTCTAAATTTTACCTATTTACAACTTTTGGGGGAAAAATTGATTGATATGTGTGAACATGAACTTTAGATGATTTGATGGATCAACGCGAAAAAAATAAATCTATATTCTTTTATATAAGACCACCCCACCCCTCCGTTAGGGTTAGTATAGTGTTGAAAAGACTGAAAGCTAACAAAAACATTGATGCAATGAAACCAAATTATGATGCTTATAGATTTTATTTTTAGTCAAAACTTGCTTCCAAAAATGACAACCTTTGGGATGTCCATCTTTAAATACAGTTAATTCAAATGAAATGACACATCCATTCATGTGATTTGCTTTGTGTTTTTCACTCTTTTCAAATCGGAGTATTATTAGGTGTGATTAGGTAGTGACATTAAAATTTTCGATCTTAATTTGATGAAGTAACCATTGAACCATCTTAATTAAAAGTTAATATCCAATACTTTATATTGGTGTTTCATGTGTTGCTTGATTATTTTTCTTCTGAAATAATAACCTTAATCTTAAATGACAATAATTGAACATGGAATGTCCAATAATATCATTTTTCTTATAAGGGAATTTATCTTGATACTTAAAAAAAAAAAAAAAAAAAAAAAACCTTTATTCACTACAAGGGAATTTATCTTGATACTTTAAATACCCTACAAATTTAGGGTCTACTAGATAAAATCATCACTTTGTTCGGTTCATTATTATATCCATTCCTCCATCTTCTTCTCTAACGTGTTCTAGTTAGATCAAATCCTTGTTATGAACGAGAGACTCTTAAGTCATATATACAACATGCTCCAACTATCTAAATCATCATTCTAGTAATTTATTTGAGACCCGTTACCATCCACTTATTAGCATATTTTTCATTTAATTTGTGTCTTATTGATGACCTCGTGCAAGGTTTATAATTTTAATTACCTAACACAAACTCTTTTAAGAAAAGGGAAGAAATTGTACCTCAGATAATCTATGAGTAAGAGTCCAGTAGACAATATAAAGGGAACCATGAATAGTAAAGAGGGTCATGGCTATATGTCCAAGCCACGTATGATACTTGATGCTACCCTCAGAAGTTAACCCCCACATTGGCAAAATGGATGAGCCTCTTGTCACTGGATAGAATAGAAACGTTAAACATACATTCCCTGCTAGGCCAAACACTAGAGCCACTCTATCGAACTTGGTTTGCCACCTGCCAAAATCGAGAGGAAAATATTATGTGAATAGAATGTAAAAGAAAAGAAATCATCGAAAGACATATGACGTGAACGGAAGACATTCAAGTTTCGCCTTGTGTCGTGGAGAGTAGAGAAACTTGCTTAACCAGTAAAATCAAACAAAAATATTACGCGAAAAATATAAGATGTGTAGGGGATGAGCAAAGAAAAGTTGCTTACACTTGCTCGCGACGTTGTATTTGGAGTAGAGGAACTTGTTTAAACAAGTATCGTACATAGTATGAGAAATACCAAACATCAAGAGCAATGAACATAGTGAATAAAGCAAGCTCAATCAATGTAACAATCCCGAGCCCTTTAACGATCATTGGCCGCTTCAAGAACCCAAATTTGTGTGCTGTTTTTTTTCTGTTCAATCGAAGATCATCAAAATATATCAAAAAGTTGAAGTTAAGCAGAGAAGAAAGAAAAAAAAATTGGTAATTTTGATTCAATAAAATTTTTTTCTCATAATATTCCCTACCTTCCTATGTTACTGTCACTAGTTCTTTTCTTTCCCAAATGCAGATATATACAGCCCACAGCAGCAATGAATAAAATTGGGAATGTGAAATCCAGCATTATTGGACCTGCAGGGTAGAGTTTCTTGAAGGTAATATTAGATAAATATTTATTCACTACATCTCTGACAGCTTAATCTTTAAGACGACGTGGTTCAGAGTTTATGTTTCAGGTCTATCCAGTTTATAAATATTGTACACATGTCAAGTCTTTTGGATGAGGTCGAGTTCAATAGTTTTAATTTTGCCACCTATTTTCAAATATTGTACACCAGTCATGCCTTCAATGCAAAACATAAATCAGCCTACACATGAGCAGGCATATTTTAGACGAGGTTGAGTTTAAGAGTTCAAGATTCATCGCCACCCACTAACAAAACTATAGGCACATCTGGCCTCTGATGAAAATAATATATTTAGGTTATGCGCAAGGAGGCGTTTTGATCCAAGATTTTGCAACCAAAGATAGATGGAGAAACAGAAGTTCTTACCTTGTATTCCAAAGAAAGTAGAATTTGTATCAGCCAGAATATGTGGAAGCCATTTATCATGATATGTATCAGTTGGCATAATGATCCACATCATAATATTCCCAAGAAAAACCAGAAGGGCTAGCACCAAAAGTGCTCCTTGCACACCACTGATTACTGTAGAGGAAGCCATTAATCTTTTTGCCTTTGAATCTCCTCTCTGTCAAAGGAAATTTGTGAAGACTTGAAAATATAATTCTTTGAGGGATTGTATATATAACTTAGTTTTGTAATGTGTGTACTGTTTGTGACTTGAAAAGGTTTTTGTGGTTACTAAAGGGACTGATGACAACAACCCATTTGTCTCCAATCTTGTTGAGTACCTTTCCATTTTTATCTTTTCTTCTAGCTGCTGCTTTTTCATTATATGCTTAATAAGACAAGCGTACAAGAATACTTGCTAACAATCTTGTAATTTTCTATCGATTGGTAAGAATTATCGAAAACTAGGCAACAAGATCCATTTACCATAATCGAGAATTAGATTAAAAAAAATTTAAAGAACTCAGTTTTTATTCTGTAAACAATAATTGTGTTAGTTTAACACGTGACGTGAGCTGCTATATAAGGAAATAGAATCATATGGCAAGAAAATCATCCATCTTAGGTAGTAATTTTTTCTGTCAAGGAAATAAAATCTTCAAGAATTGTATAGTCCAAAAATAGGTTTTAAACTTCTCCTATTTAAACTACACCATCTAGGTTTTAAACTTCTCCAATTTAAACTACACCGTCTATTGTAAATAATTACTGGAAATAAAAGAATACATTTCTTCATGGTATCAGAGCATGGTGCTCGATGCAGTAGCCCCTGTCTTGTGTTAGCCGAGCTCTCTTGAGCAATTACTCAAACACATGGAAGGCACCGTTGATGGTGAGATGCCCAACCTCCTACCACCCGAAACCAATAATCCCCTGCCAACTGAAACAAACACCCTTCTTCTAGAGTTCACAACAAAGATGGTTGAAGTCTTGAACAAATCATCAGCACCAACCCAAACATCCGACCCCTCACCCCAAATCGGCATCAAATTGGATGGCTCCAATTATGCCCTATGGTCTCAAGTTATGGAGATGAATATAGCAGGAAGAGATAATCTTGGTTACTTGAATGGTGATATCCCTCCTCCACCACCGATCGATACAAGCTTTAGCAAGTGGCGCACGGATAATGCCATTGTCAAAGGTTGGATCATCAATTCATTAGACCCCTCTCTCATTGGCAACTTTATTCAGTTCTCCACTGCGAAAGAGGTCTGGGATGCAATTACTACCACATTCTTTGACGGGAATGACACTTCCCAAGTATATGAACTCCGACGGAGAGTGGCGCGGTTGAGACATGCAGATGGCTCCATTGAAAAATACTACACGGCTTTACAAGGTTTATGGCGTGAAATCGACTTTCGCCGTCCCAATTCAATGGTGTGCTCCAAGGACATCCAGAACTATAACAAGCTGGTACAGGAGGAGCGGGTTTATACGTTCCTGGATGGCCTTCATGACAGGTTGGACAACATCAGGGCAAGTGTTTTGCAGATGAATCCTTTTCCCTCACTTGAACAAGCTTATGCACATGTTCGACGGGAGGCCCTTCGACAAGCCGTAATGACCACAGAGTCCGACAATTCCCCTAGAGCAGTCTTAGCTACGAAGGAGATGAAGACTGGACGGTCTTCACTGGGCTCTAGAAAACAAAATGATTTTAACAAATCCAAGGGAATGGGTGGGAATGAAAAGTGCTCTTATCGTGGAAATTTGAAACACACGTGAAAATTGCTTTAAACTCAATGGATATCCTGAGTGGTGATACAAACTGCAAGAAAAAAGGAATAAGGAAGGAGACAGCGCCAATAAACGAACCGGCAAAGCAGCAGAGCCACAACTATCCTTAATTCCCCAAATTGACTCCTCTAAAGATGAGGACACTACCCCAAGTCTAGGTAACCTTAGTTCAGTATTTGTTATGCATCCTAGTGACAAGAGTAATGATGGATGGTTATTTAACTCCGGGGCCACCGATGATATGACATATGATGCTAATGACTTTATTCAGTCAACCCTTACTAGATGCACCAGTGTCGCGAATGCTAATGGGGCTATCTCCCCGGTCACAGGAGCTGACTCTATATCTCTATTACCTTCTCTACATTTATCTAATACTTTACTAGTTCCCTCACTTTCTCATACATTGTTATTTATAAGTCAAATAACCGCAGAGTTAAATTTTGCAGTACTGATATGTCCTACATTTTGTCTTCTTCATGATATTCTCACCAAGGAGATTCTTGGGCGTGGTACTTAGAAGGGGGGACTATACTATATGGAAGATTTCAGTATGGGTCGAGCTTATCATATACAAAGCAGTGGAAGGGATCGACAAATTTGGCCGTGGCATCGTCGTTTAGGACACCCATCTTTCAGTTATTTGAAGTACCTACTACCTAGTCTTTTTTCAAAACGACGATTTCTGACTTTAAATGTGATACATGCATGGTAACTAAAAGTCATCGTGCATCTTATCCTTTAAGCATGAATAAAAGTACCATTCCTTTTTCTTTAGTACACTCTGATTTGTGGGGTCCCTCACCTATATCTACTGATTCTGGCATTTGTTGGTTTGTTATATTTGTCGATGACTGTACTCGTATGACCTGGCACTATTAACTGAAACATAAGGATGATGTGTTTAAGGTATTTCAGTCGTTCCATGCCATGATCTTAAATCAATTTTTTGCGAAACTTCGAGTCCTTCGATCTGATAATGGTGGTGAATTTGTGAATCAGCGCTTTCGTACCTATTTTGAACAACATGGCCTTATCCATGAAACGCCATGCCCACACATTCCCCAACAGAATGACATTGCTGAATGGAAAAATCGACACATTCTTGAGACAACAAGAGCTCTCTTACATGGAACCTCTATCCCGAAATCCTACTGGCCTGATGCAGTGTCCGCGGCTGTCTACTTGCTCAATCAAATGCCTTCTAGGTTTTTAGACTTCAAGACCCCACTTCAAGCTCTTGCATTACATGTCTCCATACCCACAACACTCATGCTTCCTCCACGAGTTTTAGGGTATGTAGCTTATGTAAATCTTCACAAAAATCAGAGAACGAAGCTTGACCCATGTGCTCTTCGCTGTCTATTTGTAGGCTATGCTATGCATCAGAAAGGGTACAGATACTACGATCCCTCATCTAAACGTACCTATGTGACTATGGACGTTACTTTTTCGGAGAACGGGGCTTTTTTCTCAACATCCAATTCTACTCTTCAGGGGGAGACAAACAAGGAAGAGTTAGATTGGTTGTACTGTAATTGACCAAATGGAGAGACAGTAGCAGAACAAGCAAATGAGCCGGCCTGGTCCAAAACTGAATCCGAAAATGTTGACGCCATAATAGAAGCAGAATCAGACTCCCAACCAGAAGGTAAACCAAACTCCCCCCTTCCATCAATACCTAACGACCCATCTCCTAAGAATATACCTGAGGTAAGCACTCCTGATATATCTTCTCATATAAACTCCGATACTTCTGCTGGATATAAGTTACCTTTCAAGCACAAACGAGGCAAGCCGCCTTGTAGATATTCTCCAGATATGGAAGGGCGAGGATCAAAGTATCCAATTACAAACTACATGTCTACTAACGAACTATCTAATCCTTTGAGAGCTTTTGAACATGCACTCTCCTCAAATTATATTCCAAAAGGAGTCCAAGAAGCCCTATCAAATTCAAAATGGGTCCTAGCAATTAAAGAAGAAATGGAAGCCCTGCGAAAAAATAACACATGGACCTTAGGCCCATTACCCGAGGGGAAGAAGACAGTGGGATGTAGATAGGTGTTCTCCATCAAACACAAAGCTAATAGAACTATTGAACGATACAAAGCTAGACTAGTAGCAAAAGGCCATACACAAACATATGGGGTAGATTACAAGAAAACTTTCTCTCCAGTTGCAAAACTAAACACGGTGCGAGTTTTACTATCTCTTGCTGCCAACATAGACTGGGCATTACACCAATTTGATGTAAAGAATGCCTTCCTATATGGCAACCTTGAAGAAGAAGTATACATGGATCTTTCTCCAGGCTACACCCACACCTCAAACACAAGCATTGTGTGTAAGTTAAAAAAGGCATTATATCGACTAAAGCAGTCACCTCGAGCATGATTTGGACGATTTAGTCTAGCAATGAAGAAGTACGGGTTCAAACAGAGTGACTCGGATCACACACTATTTTTGAAACATAGAGTAGGCAAGATAACTGCCCTAATAGTATATGCAGATGATGTGATCATCACAGTGGATGATGTGGAAGAGATATCTAAACTTCAAACACAGTTGGCAACCGAGTTCGAAATGAAAAACTTAGGAGGTCTCAAATACTTTCTGGGGATCGAAGTGGCGAGGTCTAGGCAAGGCATATTTCTTTCCCAGAAAAAATACGTGTTAGATGGCAACCTTGAAGAAGAAGTATACATGGATGCTTCTCCGGGCTACACCCACACCTCAAACACCAGTATTGTGTGTAAGTTAAAAAAGGCATTATATCTCGAGCATGGTTTAGACGATTTAGTCTAGCAATGAAGAAGTACGGGTTCAAACAAAGTGACTCGGATCACACACTTTTTTTGAAACATAGAGTAGGCAAGATAACTGCCCTAATAGTATATGTGGATGATGTGATCATCACAGTGGATGATGTGGAAGAAATATCTAAACTTCAAACACAGTTGGCAACCGAGTTCAAAATGAAAAACTTAGGAGGTCTCAAATACTTTCTGGGGATCGAAGTGACGAGGTCCAGGCGAGGCATATTTCTTTCCCAGAAAAAATACGTGCTAGACTTACTAGCTGAGGTGGGATTGTTAGAATGCAAGCCGGCAGACACTCCAATTATTCAGAACCACCGACTTAATGAACATCCAGACCAAGTACCAATGGACAAAGGGAGGTATCAAAGGCTAGTTGGTAAACTTATATATCTCTCACATACTTGTCCAAATATTGCATATGTTGTAAGTAAGGTTAGCAAGTTTATGCACAATTCTAGTGAAGACCACATGGATGATGTAACACGAATACTTAGATATCTAAAATCCTCACCTGGAAAGGAACTTATTTTCTCAAAAAATAATCATTTGAGAATAGAAGGCTACACAGATGCAGACTGGGCAGGGAATATCTCAAACAGAAGATCCAACTCAGGCTACTTTATGTTTGTTGGAGGGAATCTAGTTACATGGAGAA